GTTTGACATTTTTTTATCAATTAAATTCAAAAAAAAATTTTTCTTCTAGATTCTAAGCCACATGAACAAAATTAATCACGTGTTAGATATAACCATCACATCTCTTTCTCAAGTAATCAATATTCAAATCGGAAACCATCAATTATGAATATGAAAAGTATTGAATAAATATTTAAGAAAAAATGGATTTTTTTTTTAAATTAAATTAAATTTTATTATAAAACTATTTTTTCCAATTAAGCAAAATAAATATAAAAAATTTTTTTTTAAATTTAGTAAAATAAGAGCTAACTAATCCCATTACTACTAAAATAGCAACACGATGATTTTTTTGAAGTTTTATAAAATTTCTAAAAATTTTTTTTTTTGAAATATTTTTTTTTTAAATTAGCAATATATAAATAAATAAATAAAATATATTTACAAAAAATTTGATGTGTGTTGTATATATATATATTATAATATGTAACAATTATAATCGATAAAAAATTAAAAATGATCTAAAAAATAATAATTTCCTATATAAAAAATTCCCACATCACGACACCACGCGAAAAAATTATAATAAAAGAATAAATCAATCAAGGAGCAATCTTTTGGAAACAAGCCAAACGACTTGTTGATACACGTCGACGAGGTTGAGATTGGATGACGGAAGAGGTGGGGGCATCTGCTGCATTTCCAGAAAAGTAAGCATCAGCAAATGCACGGACGGTATCGGTTGTCAAGTTTTTTGTGTAGGATCCATGTAACAAAGGATCACTAGCAGTCTTGGTCAATCCTTTGATTAATTTGCTGTTCACGTTATGGACGAAGCAACATCGTTTACCATATGGACAAGTGCCTTTATCCCAAAAAGTTTTGCATATTTCAGTTTTATATTTTGGGTGATGAGCTACTGGACGCAATTCATTTACAGCGTGAGCGAATTGACATCTAGGACCATATCTGCAAGTACCAAGCTCTTCCCAATTTCTGCACATTTCAGTTTTATAAAGTATAGCCTTTTTCTGTTCTTTGTCTGATTCATTAGATGTAGTACTAGCATCACTCGATATGGTGGATTTAGCTGGATCACTATTGCTACGGACTCTTTGATTTATTTTATTAGCAGTGGTGTCGGTGGTGGAGTTTACATTTTCAGGATCATCAGAATCATATTTGCCGAGTGTTGAAGATGATGATGGTGAGGAAGATAATGAAGAGGAGGCCGACTCATTGTATTTAGTGTTGTCGTTATTATTATCGTCATCAATGGTACAAGTGGTTGTAGTATCACCAGAAGAAATAACAGTCGATTTTTCTTTATCAGAAGCATCAGATGAATTGATAGGATAATCAAACAAGTTGGTATCAGCGACAGTTGATTGACAATTTTTTGTTGGTTCATTAGTGTCTGCGGAAGATGAAGAGAAGGAGGAAGGAGATAATGATGCAGTTAATAAAGATCTTTTAGCAATTTTGGCCTTATATGATGAACAATCATCGTCATCGTCGTAGAATAATAATGATGTTAATAAGCTATCATCTTTGATTGGGCTCTGATCAAGGGAGATAATTAGATCGTCATAATCGGAAGATCGTTTACATAATGACGATAAGGTGGCTGTGAACAATTTATCATTCTTTGGCGATGTTGAATCAATGGATGAGCAATCAGATCCCGAAGATAAATCAGAAGGAAAGTCGAGCAATGTTGGATATCGTTCAAGAATGTTGTAACCAGGATTTATGATATTATTGTTATTCAAGATGCCGACGCCGTTAGTATCACCATCACCATAATTAATTTTTCCTTCGATCAAAATTTCATTTGTACCGTTATCGCATTGTTGATCAATAATCATCCCGTTAGAATCAACCATCTGATCACCTAATAACGAGTCCCAACAAAATGGATTTGAGATGATGGAAGGCTTAGGGGTAGGGATGGAGATGGGTGACGATTTTGGTTCACCAATGATACCAACGGATCTTTTGAAAGCGTTAACAATAGTAGATGGTTTACTATTATTAGTTCTGTAGGCATTGATTGGTTTTTTGTTGTCAGCTACAATAATCGGATCATCACTCGACAAGATTGGTGATTGCGGATTGAACAAGTATCCTGAAAGTTTGTTGATTGATAGGCCGGTCATATCACCAACTGCTTTAGAAAAAGGTTTTTTGGTTCCAATTGCTCCGAAATCTTTGGAAGTTGTGCTTGCCATAGTTGTGATAATAGTTGATTTGTAAAAAAGTTTATATATCAAAATAAGCAGTGTCTATTAATTCCCAAATATTAATTATTGTATGTGATATATAAGTTTATTTATATGGTATGACCAAACTAGTGATATAAATAGTATTTGTATAGTATATATAGTTAGTATATAATGCATTGGTGAGTAATAATATGCATTAGTTATGTATATATACAGTCAGTAAATATAATTGTATTATTAATAATAGTAATAGGTTATATATTGTCGTCGTCGTTGATCAAAATAAATATAGTTGTGATAGTTGAGAATGTAGTAATGGTGGTGGTTGGTGGCAATGTGGAAAATATAAATTAGAAAAAAAAAATATGAAGGTTAGTAAACGTTATTTTTTTTTCTTTGGAATTAAAAAAATAAATTTAAAAAAAAAATGGGAACGAACATATAATATTTGATTTATTTAAGAAGAAAGTAAATATAACAATGTAGTAATAATATTATTACCTATTCTATTACGGAAACTAAAAAAAATTAAAAAAATTTTTTTTTAAAAATTGCGAAGAGAGAAGAGATTATTATTTTTCCCGATTGATTTGTGCGTAGGGAATTATTTTTTTTTATTTTTGAAGAGGGAAAATTTTGATAATGTCCTTTTTATAAAAAACTTGTTTCTCTTAAATTCGATAGAAAATGAGTAATTTTACAAATTAGGAATAGCTTAATTTTTTTGTTAAATTTTTCTCAAGAACAAATCAAAAAAAAAATTAATAAATAAAATAAAATAAATAAATAAAATAAATTTTTTTTAATGTATTTCCATATTTATATTTAATTTTATTTTATACTTCCTCTTTAATAAACAACATTAAATTTTATGATGTAAAAATTACGAAATATATCATTGATAACGATGCAACTCTACATGAAAAACACCAAACAATTGAATTAAATAATCTTATTATTATCATTATATTACTTATTAATCCTAATATCTTATTTGTGTGTCTCTTTCTTTTCCTCTTTTCTTTTCCTCTCTTTTCTTTTCCTCTTCCTCTTTTCCCTTTATTTTTTTCTCTAGAATAATTAAATAAAATAATGTGAATGTTGTTTGAGCGTGATTTTGTTTGCAGTTGTACAACAAATTTCAGATGTTTGAACAAACTATAAATAGTATTTACAAGGATAAGGGTAAAAACTTAAAAAAAGTTTGTTTTCAGAATTGGTAATACAACACGAGAAATTTAATCTTGAGAAAAAAATTATTATTATTTGTATATTATTTATAATACATTAATATTAAAAAATTGTGTTTGTATATTTATAATACATTAAAAAAATTGTGTATTTGTATATTATTTATAATATATTGTTTATTTATTAAAAAGATTATATTATTTATTTATAATAATATTTAATTATTTAATAATAATAAACTACTTCATTAATGCATTTTGTCAACATCAAATTATTTTTTATAGTAATAGACAATGCAGCTTTTAACATTTATGGGGCGGGGCACTCGTCATATCGTCATAAACCAACATGTCTGGCTTTTTTTGTTATACAAACAAATAAAACACATTAATTATTATTTTGCAACAAGTATTTCTTTTTCTTCCACGTACCTACCATATTTATTATTGATTACGATCAAATGTGAGAAATAAAAAATATCTTTTTTTTCTAATAAAACCAAAAGTTGATGGGTGAGGATTTTGCCGATTTTGAGTTAAAAAGTTTCTTCTATTTTTTTCTTTAATTTTCTGCAGATGGTTTCTAAATTTGTACTAGTTACACAAGATCTAAAAAACAAAAGATGATCATTTTGTAGGAAGGAAGTGCGATTTCTGAATCAAGCAAGGTCAATGATCCATTATTCATCCTCATCTGACAATTGATCTCTCTGCCTGGTGATATATTACAGAAACTTCTGAACGTTAAACTCAATTGTTTCGAATTTAAACCTTTAAGTGATTTGGGTTCAGGACAAAAAGAGATAAGGTCTTGCTAAAAATATTGTATAATATATGTTTGACGATGATTGGTTATTAAATATAGGAAGATAATTTTTTTTATATAGACATTAATGATAATCGTATTTTCAACGGGTCGTGACAGTTTGATTGGTGAAGAGTGGATGCAATCAGTTATGATTGATTGATATGTATGTCTTTCAAGGACAAAGACAAGGGCAATTAATAAATATTACGTACATATTACCATGTGCTGCTGGCCTTCTTTTTCTTTAGGTTTTTGTCTAATCGTTAAATAAACCAAAAAAAAAAAAGGATTGTTTTTCAGGAACAGAGGAATTTGGATCTTTTTATATTTCTAAACTAAAAGAAGGTTCTTTGACCCTGCCTGATTACATATGCACGCCCCATAATGAGGTAACACGAGAAATTTTAATTGCACGCAGTAAATTATCTAGCGTTCCATTATCAACAGTTTGTAATATATATTTAATGTTTGAGTATTCTTTAAAAAACTTGTTCTTGATTAATTTATCAGAGTAGATAGACAAATACATCGAAAGAAAATTGACCTGGTTGGTACTCTTCTGACCGGACTTGTGGACTTTTCCATCCCTAGTTATAATTATAACATCAGATAAAAAATTTTTGACTACAGACAAATAACATTAATACCAATATATTAATTTGTTATCGATCACATTTTTTTAAAAAATTTTAAATTTAATGTCAATCAAACTTATCATTTGCACACAGTAATATTAAAGTAGAAAATCTTAAATTAAATATAGTAATACACGTTATCAAAAATTACAAACTTTATGTTTTAATGTTTCTTTCTCCCTTTTTTAAAATGTTTTTTACCCGTTAATACAATCCTTCCTACATCCCTACTACTGTCATTATTATTATCATCAATATCATAATTAATTGGATAAAATTTTACCCTATTAAATTCATTGACCGTTTTTGAAAATTTTCCTTTAATTTTGGCACCACTTATGATAATGTCATTAATGCCATCATCATATTCATATTCTTCTTTAGCATCATTGATGTTAGATGATGTAATCGTTTTTTTGTTGTTATTTTTTTTAAGATATAATTTTGGATCATGAAGTTCCATATTAAATTCTTCTATGGAAATATTGCTATCTGGTGGCGGGTGACAAAATGGCAATTTACCCTAAATTAAGTTAAATTAAATTATTATTATTAAACCATATATAATTCTTTGAAAGTCACCCCATCATATAAATAAATTTATTACTTTAACATAATCTTTTAATATATATCGTGCAGCACGTGATTCATCATAATTACCATGTCCAGATTTTGTTAATCCTCTAGCAGCTAATCTCATTAAAAATAATCAAATACCAATTAAGATTAATTAAAAAAAAATATATCGTCTATCAATATTATTTAATTATATATAACCTGCCTGCGTAAGCGGTTAAAAATTCTTCTGGCGTTGGTATACCACTTCCACCCTCCTCAACAGGTTTCGTCAAAATTTTAATACCATACATAGTCTCGAGAACATCTTTAGGTATCCGTTTCGAGACTAGTGCAGCAGGTCCTGTGTGTTCTCTCATCTGATCAATTGGTAATACACCATTACAAATCATTTCCGCATTTGTTGTCGCGAAATTTGGAAACACCAATCCAGGGCAATCACATAACACGAGGTTTTGCGATAGATTTATTGTTTGGAAATGTTTAGTTTTTCCTGGCGTTGATGATACTGATACTTTCTTCGCACCTAAAAGTGTATTTATTGTAGATGATTTTCCTACATTGGGATACCCGACCAATCCTATCGTTATTTTGCGATCAACATCTATTGTAATATATATATATTGGCGTAGTGTATATGAATACTTATACTTATATATGTGTGTGCGCGTGTGTGTGTATTTAAAATTATCAAATACCTTCCATATCTTGAACCTCTGCTGTTAGTAAAGATATTAAATCTTCTGTTGTTACAATCTTTACTCTATTGTTTTCAGAATTCTTTATGTTGAATATTTTAAGGTCATTCTCTTCTTCTTCTCCCTTAACGTCATTACCATCATCATCGTTATTATTTATCTCCTTCTCCTCTTCAACTTCATCTTCATCATCTATTTTCTCATCCTCATCATTTGATGAAGATGTATCACCATCAGTCTTTATTTGTTTTTCAATCTCTTCATTAGCTAAAACTGCAGAAAAAAATATATACCGAATTCCTTGTGAATCAAAATATTCTGCCCAAGTATTTCTATGTATATATATATATATTATTATTATTATTATTACTATTTATTTAAGACTTATTATTATATTTAAATTTTTTTATCACCTTTGTTTACTAGTCAACAAATCAGCTTTATTAATTAATAAAAGATTCTTTTTTTTTTCATCAATTTCCTTAACATATTTTTCCAAATCAATTGAACGAAAGAACAAAGGATTTCTAGCATCTACTATCTGAACAACTAAATCTGATCTTTCTATTACTCGCCATAATTGTCTCCAAACTTCTATATTTCGTTCAAACGGTGTCAACAAGAATTCATCTTGTTCTTGTAAACTATTTTTTTTTTTAAAAAAAAATAAATTATCCTTTTTTTTAAATAGTTTTGTTATTTGTATTTATATTTGTATTTACTGTGCAAGTTTACGTCTCCATCTTAGGAATGATTCTTTTTCTTCATGTTCTAATTGTTCAGGGGTTGTTGATTTATCCCATTTGGGTCTTTTATAGAAAAATTTTATGTAAAATCAGTTTATCAATTTTATCAATTATAATATTAATAAATCAATTTCCTCATCTACTAATTCACCATTCTTTCATTTATGTACCTTCTAGGTATAACCAATCGTTCTTTATTAGCTTCATGTCTTGCCAATGTTTCTTTTTCTTTTTCAGAGCTCAAAAGAAACGGATTCTCATAATGATTTGTCACTACCTTAATATTCAACCTTTCTACAAAACAAAACAAAAAACTATATAAAATTGAATTTATATAAATTTTTTATTTTTTTATTTTTTTATTTTTACCAGCTGTAAATTGTGTTCCTGCTAATTGTGCCGTACTAAGAAATTCATCCAAATCTTTTTGATGTGTTATTGATTGTAAGTTTGTCCAGCTAGGCCCATCGTTTAAGTCAGTTGTATGCTTATTAACAATAATGATGATGATGATGATGATGATAATTGGTAATGCAATAATAATAATTAATAATTCTTTTTTTTAAAGGAACAAAAAAACAGACATTAATATCATGATATCATCACGTTGTATATTACCAATGCAGTATCGCCATCTTTAGGTTTATGACCTTTAAATCTATCTTTAATAATTGTTCTACCGAGGCCAGAGTTCTTCTTAAGTTTTGGTTGTGGCATATTTTTTCATCAATATTTTTATTATTATTATCTAAATAATAAATATCAAAAATGATCTGCAACGATTAAAAAACAAATTTTAATGCATTATTACGTCTTATTTATTTTGAAATTGGAATTATTTATTCATTTACGTGGTTTAATTATAAATAAAAAGGAATAAACTAGCCAAGGTATACTCATCCAGAATATAAGATCACAATCACCCACTTGATCTCTTAAGAACAAGATAATGAATGGTTCTACACCACACCATCATTATTATCGACATTAGATATTTGGATTTATGTTAACTGGAGATAATAAATATTAGTATTATTATGGTTGATCGTATTATTGTAATTAATATTAAAATGGATATTTAATTGATTCATGGCGTGATTTATGTTTAAGAAAAATTTTCAAGTCTTTAGATGATGATATGATAGCATTGGTGGTTTTAATTTTTCTTTCTATTCTTTTTCTCTTTCCTACGATGTTGCCACCTACCCACGGCATTCTAGGTTCCCTTTCAATTTATTAATAATGAAATTTTGGTGAATCATGCGGTCCAACAAATGAAAGGGCAGCGTGAGTATATTCTCATCAACAAGATTGATTAATTGTTTTCTTATTCGTAACTATCATCATTAATTTCATTTTATTTTAATGTAAAATAGTCAAAAAAATAAAAATGACATTGACGACAAAAAATGATGGTAGAAAATTGTCCAGACCTGGTACATTTGATTTTTTACAATCATCTTATGATTATAATAATTTATTATCATCAGTGGCAGAAGATGATGATGTTGTGACGATGGCGATGAAGACACTTCCTTCAACAAATAGGGTTTTTTAAAGCAGGGTTGGCAATGAATCCGGCCCATTGAAGCTGATGTATTTTGGCCGGTCTGTTGGCATTAGTAAAATATTGAATATGTTTAATATGATATGCCAATAGTTTCAATGGACTGGTCCATTGCCAGCCTTGGTTTGAAGCGCACATCTTCTCTTTCGGAACCAAATAACAATACTTCTAGTACGTTTGTCGATGGGTGCCTGGTTCCCTCGTCTTGATTGTTTTTCAAAAAGAATAATTCGCGTCCAAAGAAATAAAAAAAGAGGGGCTTATTCGTACAACACATGGTATAAATAGATTTTACCATTCAGTATAATAGATAACCTGGATGAAGATGAACTTTTGGAACTTTTGGAAGCATTCGATGAATTAAATTTTAAAGGGTTGATTGATGATTTACAAAGTTATTTGATCAATGAAAAAAATGAATGGATTCAAGAAAACATAGCTTGCGTTTGTAAAGTTTCATCAAGACATCAATTGTTTGGTTTGTTCCGGGATTGGCAATAGACTGGTCCATTGAGATCAATGAGTTTTGGTCTGGTCCATTACAATGATTATTGCAAGGAATTAATTTATAGAAATCCGAAATGGTTTAAAATCCAATGGTTGAAGAAACATAACTTGTTGGAAAGAGATGATTTAGAATTAGATGAGATTGATATTTGGAATTTCAATTTGTTAGATTTAACAACATTTCCTCGGGTGACTTTTATGAGAAAATCAGGCCATAAAGCTTCTAATAATGAATTATATGAAGAACTCTCCAACATTATTCTAATTCTGAAAAGATTATAACCCAAGTTACATCTTCAAAAGGGTCCAAGGACAAAAATCGAGAGGGAAAGTTGTTAAATTTGAAATTAAGAATTGATTGGATTGGCCAGAAAAATATGGTCCATTATAATGAAAATAATGCACCATATAATTTTAGATTAATTTATATTGGAAGTCAAGATGGATTCCCAAAATCGGTTTTTGAGAATAAATGTTTTGACATTGCCATGAATATTAAAAAAAAGGGTGAATTTGGGTATAACAATTATTGCATTTAAGAATTTATTTCCAAAATGCTATGACAATTTTCTATAATTTTTTAACTAACAACTAGAATCAACATCATTTTTTTTAATAGTGACGAGTAGAAAAGCTCTTAAATTTCTCTTGCTCTAACAATATTTGCCTGCTTTTGTCTTCTGCTAGTGTGAAATAGTAATAGTAATTTATAGATCACGGGAAATTCGTAAATATAAGTTACGTGACGAAGATCAACACGCATTAACATAATAATAATCACAATTATTAATATTAATATATAAATAGAAATTCCGATGTGTGTAATAAAGTCAAGCATTATTAATCCAAAATAAAACTGTCATATTGATAGAAGTTCTATATGTAAAGATGGCAAAAAACAAAATTTATTTATATTTTTTTCATATATTCATGTATTTATCAATACACAAAAAGGAAAAATAAACCGGCTTTCTGAATGTTAAGCCATAATTTTTTTACTTTATTATTATAAGCAATTAACTGAAATCACTTCTATTTGAACTGCTTCAATAATCTGAATTTTTATTTAACAATTAGACATTATAATAAATAATTACGGAGCCAATCATATTAATATTAACATTTACGGTAGTCGAAATTATTTACTATTACGGGTTTTAACTCCCATAATAGTAATAGTAATAATAATAATAATAATAATAATAATAATAATAATTAATTACGGATTTAGAATCATAGTTCCGTAATAATTACGAAGTTGATTCCTATTAATATGAAACAAATAATATCAAAACAATTCATTGGCACGGTAAATATGGGTGATTTTAACTCCGCTTACAAGCAATTAAATTCACCGATTCTTGGTATTGGTTTTTTAAAAATAAAAGTTTGATTTGATTTTTAATTTGCAAGCTCCAATTCATTTTTCTTGTACAACTAGAACTGTTGGTTTATTTTCATTTCATTAATTCATTCATTCAGATTACTAACATTGTCACTTAGTCCCATAACTATTGGTCGTGTAGATTTTCAAATTCTCCAAAAATGGAAATGCAAAATCCCAAAATAAATCGTGCATTTGAAGCCAAGACCTTCCTCGATTTTCATCTCATTGATACGTTGTGGAGAATTTGAGCTTCAAAGTTGCACAAGTTTACCGAATTTACTATGTTTAGCCCTAAAATGACGTGTTACACACAAAAAGTTAATATTAGTCGAACGATTTGTCACATTAAACGATTGGGAAGTGTATTTTCCGAATTTTTTGGTGATCAACGTCGAAATTCTATTAATAAAATTAGCCACAAACCTTAATTTTAACCCTTTTTTGCTCAG